CCTGCACACACACTCCTGCATGCACACATGTTCCTGCCCATGCACACGTGTCTGGCCTGCACACGCACTCCTACATGCACATGTGTTCCTGCCCGTGCACACATGTCCACTCCTGTGTGCACACATGTTCCTGCCCGTGCACACGTATCCACCCTGTGCACATGCATCCTGCTGGTGCATGCACACCCTACACACCCTTGTGCACATGTGTCCAGCCTATGCACACATGCCCGGCCTGTGCACACACCCTTTGCACACATGCACCCTTGTGCATACATGCTCCTGCCCATGCACACACATCCTGCTTGTGCACACACACCTTGCACATGCATACCCCCGTGCACACATTTTCCTCCCTGTGCACACGTGTCCTGGCTGTGCACACACACCTTGCACACGCACACTCTTGTGCACAAGTTTTCCTGCCCATGCACACACGTTGTGCATTTGCACACACATCCTACATATGCGCATATATGGTCCTCCCCTGAGCACGCACATCCCACCTATGCATGGCCTGCACGCGTGTCCCTGCCACACACGGACACGCACATCCCACGTGTGCATGCACACGCACGCCCTCCCATGCACGCGCATGCCCACCTGCCCACCGGTGCCTCGTAGTAATCCTCGACGAGCTCGTCCTCGCTGAAGAGGCTGTTGATGCGCAGCGAGCGCGGCCGCCCCGGCTCAGCCTCCTCCTGCGGGGACAGCGAGCGACACGGGGGGACCCGGTGCCACATTGTCCCCCTGCAGCCACCTCCCTGCCACCCACCTTGCCGGCCATCCCGGTGCCGGCTACTTCCTCCTCCTCGTCACTGCACTCGTCGTAGTCGGAGTCATCTGCAAGGAGCGAGCGGGAACACGCGACTCGCAGGGGACAAAGTCCGGGGGACTTTTTCTGCGCTTCATTCCTTTTTTATCTTTTCCACCCCCTCTGCTTTGCTTATCAACCCAGCGCAAATGCTCCCGGCAAAGGCTTCGCCGAGCTGGGTGCAATGGTGCCCATGTTGCGGATGGATGGAGCATCCCGGCGTCGCCGGTACTCACCGAACTCGGGCACGAAGGGCCGGGCGGGCTTGGAGGGCGGCTCCGGATCCGGCTCCGGTGGCAGCTTGGAGCAGGACGGTGGGAGCGGACAGGCGCTGGCACCCCCAGCGGGACCCTCCTCGGTATCGGGAACGCTACGGGACACACGGATCGGGGCTGTGTGATGCCGTCATAGCCTCTTTGCACCCCTAAATGCACCCGGAGGCTCCGCAGCGTCCCAGTCTGCTCCAAAACCCGTCGTTTTCACGGTGCACGGGCCAAACCGGTGCTTTTCCAGCCTCAAAACAAGCCCCAGCCCCCAGCGGCAGCTACTGAAGCTCCCGCTTCTTATCAGGGACCCAGGGACGCCCGGAGCCGCCGAGGCTGCTGCGCCGTGGGTTTTATCCCATCCTAGTCTAAACAGCTCCAGGTGTCCCGTCTGTCCCGCTTCCTCCCAGCAGCCTGTCCTGGAGCCAGCAAGGACATCCCGGAGCTCAGCGGGGACCCGGCATCGCCGCTTCCCGCTCGCTTCCGGCTTTCCCGGAATGTCAGGGAATAAGCGGTGTGCATGAGCGTTTTTAAGCACTCGGAGCGCAACCATTGCGGGAAAACTTCTCCCGGCTGCTCCAGCAGCACAGGGGGTGGGAAGGAGCAGGCGCTGGCTCCGCTCCGGGCCGCGCAAGCGACCTCATTTCTGAGCAGGCATTCCCATGGGAACGGGCCACAAGCATCCATACATTACCACGGCCCCTGGCTCGTAGCCCTCCACATCCCTGTGGGAGCAGCGCCAGGAAGGATCTTGTCCTCCAGGCCTGTCCTCTTGCACCCAGCTTTGCCCCGGGCAGGCTCAGGGCTTTGCAACGGGAGGCAACTTTTGCATGAGTGAAAAGTTTGCATTAAATTAGGCGTAACATTTTCATGAAACTAGGTGCAAGGTTTGCATTAAATTAGGCGCAACGTTTTCACACGATTAAGTGCAGCATGTGCATGAATTCAGGTACAACATTTGCGTGAGCACAGGTGCAACATACGCATGAGATGAGGTGCAAAGTTTGCACGAAATTAGGCTCAACGCTTTCATGTAATTAAGTGTAAGGTGCATGAGATTAGGTGCAACGCTTGCTTTAAACTTGGGGCAACCCTTGCGATGAGAGAAATCCCTCCGTCCCGCCACGCTGTGCTAGCAGGGGCCTTATCTCGCCCCCCATCCTGCTCTATCAGCTGCCGAATCTGGCCCGGCGCCGCTTCCTCCGCCCCGGTGCCAGCCCGGGCGTCTCGCGCCGAACCCCAATGTCCCTCCCCGATGGCCACACGAGGGGAGGGACAAGAGCGAAGAGCCGCGATGCAGAGGAAACCACAGGCCCCGGCGCTGGGTTCACAAGACACCGGCTCTCTCAGGGAGACGGCGAGCGGCGCGCGGTGGGTTCAGTCCTATAAGCCACCTCTGTATGGCAAACCTACATGCTGTGCTGTGCATCCCGCGTTGGAACCGGGCCCTGGCTCCTGCAGAGCGTATGTGCTGCAGGAACGGAGCGCAGCACGTTCGGGATGGGCTGTAGGTATCTGCTATAGGGACCGAGACCTGCAGACCATGCTGGGCATAAGGATGGCAGGAACTGAGCATCTACGGGCTGCACTGCACCTATCCGTGATGGGAATGAGCACGAGCACCTATGGACCGCACGGTACCTATCCATGATGGGAATGAGCATCATTACCAACGGATTGCACTGCACCCATCCGTTATGGGAATGAGCACCAGCACCTGTGGACCACACTGCACCTATCCGTGATGGGAATGAGCATCATTACCAATGGATTGCACTACACCTATCCATGTTGGGAATGAGCACCAGCACCTATGGACTGCACTGCGCGCCTAGGGGCTGCCCGTGACCTATCCGTGGGGGGAATGAGCATCAATGGATCGCACTGCACCTATCCGTGATGGGAATGAGCATCAGCATCTATTGATCGCACTGCACCTCTCCATGATGGGAATGAGCATCACTACCAACGAATCGCACTGCACCTATCCCTGCTGGGAATGAGCACCAGCACCTATAGAGCGCACTGCACCTATCCGTGATGGCAATGAGCACCAGTACCTATGGACCGCACGGCACCTATCCATGATGGGAATGAGCACCAGCACCTATAGATCGCACTGCGCCTATCCATGATGGGAATGAGCTCCAGCTCCTATGGACCACACTGCACCTATCCACAACAGGAATGAGCATCGGCACCTATGGATCGCACTACACCTATCCATGTTGGGAATGAGCACCAGCACCTATGGACCACACTGCACCTATCCGTGATGGCAATGAGCACCAGTACCTATGGACCGCACGGCACCTATCCATGATGGAAATGAGCATCATTACCAACGGATTGCTCTGCACCCATCCGTGATGGGAATGAGCACCAGCACCTGTGGACCACACTGCAGCTATCCACAACAGGAATGAGCACCAGCACCTATGGATCGCACTACACCTATCCATGTTGGGAATGAGCACCAGCACCTATGGACCACACTGCACCTATCCGTGATGGGAATGAGCACCTATGGACAGCACTGCAGCTATCCGTAATGGGAATGAGCACCAGCACCTATGGATTGCACTGCACCTATCCATGATGGGAATGAGCACCAGCACCTATGGATTGCACTGCACCTATCCATGATGGGAATGAGCTCCAGCACCTATGGACCACACTGCATCTATCTGTGATGGGAATGAGCATCAGCACCTATGGACCACACTGCACCTATCCATGATGGGAATGAGCATCATTACCAATGGATCGCACTGCACCTATCCATGATGGGAATGAGCATCAGTACCTATGGACCGCACGGCACCTATCCATGATGGGAATGAGCATGACTACCAACGAATCGCACTGCACCTATCCGTGATGGGATTGAGCTCCAGCACCTATGGACCACACTGCACCTATCCACAATGGAAATGAGCATCAGCATCTATTGACCACACTGCACCTACCCACAATGGGAATGAGCATCAACGGATTGCACTGCACCTATCCATGATAGGAATGAGCATCAGCACCTATGGACCACACTGCACCTATCCATGATGGGAATGAGCACCAGCACCTATAGATCGCACTGCACCCATCCGTGATGGGAATGAGAACCAGCACCTATGGACCACACTGCACCCATCTGCTACAGGAGCCGAGGAGCAGCACATACCGAGCACACTGTAGGTATCCACTACTGGAACCAAGCAGAGCACGTTCGATCGGGCTGTATCCACGATAGAAACCCAGCATCAGCTCAGGCAGAGCACGCTGTGCACAGCCCATATAGGAACCGAGAAGCAGAGCATATGGCCCAGGATATACACACCCTGATGGGAACCGAGCAGAGCACGTATGGACCAGCATGGACATACCCCCGACAGGAACCATCAGAGCACGTATGGACCAGGACGTATGTACCCATATGGGACCCAAGCAGAGCATATATATGCCTTTCTATATAGATGCTCTATTAAAACCAAGCCCCAGGCATAGTGTCCACATAGATCTGCCTGACTTAAGCCTATAGATATATACGCTGGGCACATAGGAGTGTTTCCCTCTGGGCTGCTCCGCGGCTGATCCCATCCTTTTCCCAGTGGCATCCAGGAGGCTCCCGGGGAGGACAGGGAGCCGGCGTGGGGCTGGACCCACAGCGAGATCCCAGCCCGTGGCCGGGAATGGGGACATCCCCGTCCCAGGACGTGTCCCCATCCCTCCTGCAGGGAGGACACGTGGCAGAGGTGCCAAGGGGCTCGAGCACACGGAGGGGTCTCAGCAGGACGAGGGGGTCCATCGCCTTCCCTCCGCATCCCTTACCCCTTCCTTGCACTTACACCTTGCACGGTGCCTTTTCCCGCATGCAAATGCCTGCAAAACCCCGTGCAGGGAGCCCTGGCTGCTCCTGCCACCGGGATTTCGGGATTCCAGACTTCCCCCACACAGACCCATGCTTGCCTTGTGTTGCAGCAATTTTTTTTTTTGCGCAATTCAGCCTTTTTACAATTCAATTTTTACATTTTTTTTTACAATTCAGCCTCTTGCAGGGGGTGCTGGCCCCTCTCCTCCCTCCCCACAGCCCCAGCTGGAGTTTGGCTCCATGCCGGAGCTTTTGCCACGTCCAGCAGCTGCAGGAGGAAGGAAACGTCCGGGCAAAGAGCGGAGCAGAGGAACTTGCCGCTCCGGGTGCACCAAGGCCGGGGAAAAAGGGGGTCCCTGGGAACCAGCCCCCCTGTCCCACCGCTGCTCATCCCACGGCTTCAATCCAGCAGCCTGGAAAGGCGCCAGGGTCCCGGTGGGAACACAGCGCAAGCCGGAGGCAATTCCCACGGGAGGAGGGGCAGCGAGCGCCGTTTCCCACGCCAAAACATCCCGGTCGCGGGGGGCCGCTCCGCGCGCGGCGCCCCGGCCCTACCTGGGCGGCAGCGGGATGCTCCGGCGGGATGCACGGAGCCGGGTGGGAACGCGGCCCGCGGGCCCGGCCGGCGCTCCGGCTGCCGGCGCTCCGAGCACTTCCTGCTCGCTCTCGGCACAACCCTTCCTGCACGCCGCCGCGCGCGCCGCTCCGGCCGGCCCTCCCGGCGGAGGACGTCGGCCCGTGGCCGGGGTTGGAATTTGCTCCGCGGGCGGAAGGGGCCGTTGGAGCGTCCCGGGAAAGGGATCGTGATGGGCGAAGGGCAGGAGGCAACGTGGAGACGGGGGACCCGGTCTTTGCAGTGGTGGCAACCGACAGAACTAGAGGTAATGGCACAAACTGAAGCACCAAAAGTTCCACAGGAACTAGAGGAAAAATTTCTTGACAGTGAGGGTGCCAGAGCACTGGAACAGGCTGCCCAGAGAGGTTGTGGAGTCTCCTTCTCTGGAGATCTTCAAACCCGCTTGGACGCAGTCCTGTGCCACGTGCTCTAGGTGACCCTGCGTGTTGGACTAGATGACCTCTAGAGGTCCCTTCCAACCTTAACCATTCTATGATTCTATGACCATCTGCATGGACCTCCATGAACACTGGAGTCACACAGCGATTGGGCT